AAAAGCGCCGGAACACACGATACGAATCCGTTGTATCGTCGTTTCCGCGGGCGCACTTCCGGCGCAAAATCCGCCGGAAACCTGTAGCATTGACAAAAAAAAATTTCCTTCTCAGCCAACAATCAAATTTCCACACTACAAACAAATACAAAATAACAACTTCCACCACAGTTTTCACAACACTTTCACAACAGTTTGTATACATTAAAAGAAATAGCAGTACTAACAATGAACTAAAACACATCACATTAAAAAGAGAAACTGTTCAATTAAAACATTGTTCACAGAAATAAACAAGTTCATATAAACTAAATTAAACTACTCTGACTCCGTGGACTCCTCCTCAGGTGGAGCTACCTCTTTTTCACTCAACTGCTCCCTCGATTGCGCATTAAAAGAAAATTGCATAGGCCACTTCAAGAAGGTTACACAAGAAAAAAAAAGTCGAGTAAAGAATAAGTATATAACCTCGTCGAAATGAAAGTTCAAAAAGAAATTATTTATTGAATAGAATATTTTTACATTATTCAATTACATAATGTAAATATATGAACAGTGATTCATAATAATGACTTAGAGAGTAGCACTCCCCTCTCACTAAGAGCGTATTAGATAAAGTGATTGCGCATACTAGGAAACTAACTTGCATGCATGCTGACTCAAGAATATTAAAAGCCACAAGTCTATCAGCAACGTTGATCATGCTGACTCGAAGAATATTAAGAGTACGCTTTCTCTAAAGATGCTAAAGTGTATTGCATACTATAGCAAAAAGAATGGACTAAAGCTAATCTAATATGTAACAACCGATAATCTCAAAAAAAATTTGAAAAACATATACCTTCGGTTTCCTCGCGGCGCGCCGGGGGGACTAGGAAGCACAGAGGGCGGGTAAACGAGCGACTAGGAAGGAGGCTCGCGAAGTCGGTGATCGTCGACGGCGATGTCCGGTGACGTCGCGACGTCTAACCACGGCGAGCGACGGAACGGCGAGCGGGGGCAACGAGCGAAGCAATGGAAAGTGAAGAGGAAAGAAAGGAAAAAGAATGGACGGCCAGAGGGGTCGGTTCGCGAAATAGGCTTCTACGGCGGAAGTCCGCCCGGTAAATTTAATATTGTCGTCGGTATAATTTCCGACGCGTATACTCCGCCGTTTTTGTTTTCGATTGAGCTTTAAATAGGGCGGCGTACTATACCGCCGGAACCATAAGCCGAATAGTTCCAGCCGTAACATGCAACGGAAATGGTTCAGGATCCCTATAACCGGTCGGGTTTTCACGGCGGACCCAGGGCGTCGTGAATTTCCGACGATGTTCCGCCACGGTAATTTGACGCAAGCCTCTTACGTCGAACAAAAATCTGTCCGGTGAGTACCCGATTTATACCGTCTAAAAAAATCCCGCCGAAGAAACTCCGCGGTATTCACGTGTTTTCCCGTAGTGTCTATGAGAGTATCATTGATCTATAATTTTCAAATGGCATGCAACTACTAATATTATGAAGGTCCGAATTTATTCTACAATTTAACTCCATTTTAACTAAATGCCTATGACATTGCTTATGGTCATGTTTCTTAATATTGCTATGCGAATTTTTATGTGCAATGACTCCAAACTAGCAATTCTTATATCTTTATTCTAAAAATCTGCTACTGCCTATCATTAAATTTTGATTCATTTTACAATTTTTAACATTATTAGCAAATGCCAAGCTAATCCTACATTTTTTGTCCGAATGTCACGTTATTGTATGTAATGTATATGATTTCAAATTGATATATTATTGCCGCTTCTATGAGATACAAATCCAGGTCAAAAACCTTAATCAATTAAATTATCGTATGAAATGATGTATGCAATATTAAAAAATGAATGCTTGCATCTATGATGCACCGACACTTCTCCTTCAAGAGGCGTGCGAGTGTCCGACACCGTGTCCGGACACGACACTCGTCACACACTCCTCCGACACGTGTCGGACACGCCGAAAACGTGTCCGATTAAAAAAATATTAAAAATAAATTGGACCACGCGTTGTCCGACACGGCGTAATCTTAAATATTTTATAAATTTTTTTTAAAAATATAATTTGTTTATATTTTGCGAGATTTAAACCTAAAAAATTTCTTATTTTCATAATCCACAACACCAATATCAACGTATTGCAGTTTAATAACCCATTTCAATCGAAATTTTGATTTTCATTTCTCTTTGAGCAGTGAAGCGTAATTTTCAATCTACTCCTCTTTTTGCACAATTACATCTCTTCTCTTGTTTGAACTAGAGTTGAAAGTGATATATTCAATGATGATGATATTGAAGACCAAAAACAAACCTCAAAGCAATCCTAAGTAGTTGAAGCTGAATGCTTGAATATTGCTAGTAAGTGATTATTTGCTTATATTTTTGATGGTGACTAGATATTTGTAATAAATATTTATTATTATTATAAGCTTAGAACAATATAATGATCATTCATTAATGTTTGTCCATTTATTAATATGATATAACATAAATATATACACTATATAAAAAAAGTTATTGCCGTATCCGCCCGTTACCCGTGTCCTATATTTTTTAAAAAAGCCGTGTTCCCGTGTCGCGTGTCGATGTCGTTCCGTGTTTGCCGTGTCCGTGTTCCGTGCATCATTAGGCTTGCATGTATGTGTTCATTAGGCAACCCCTTTATAGTTATTGAGTTTGGGGAACGTAATGAAACCGCATGATTCTGTAACTCTAATATTTTCACTACAGACAATGTAGACATGAGTTGTTCCCCACTATGGCTAACAATAATATATCGATCCAAATATGAGATTAGAAGTCTTACCACCACAAACAATAGCAATCAAAAAGAGTTGTAGCCACAGGCGACTGGGGTAATGATCAACCAGTGTGTGTGTTTAGATATTTATGAAGAACAATAGCAAATAAAAGAGTTGTAGCCACCACAGGGCCAAAAAGTAATGTCATCACCAGTTAGTGAGTTTAGATTTATAAGAAAACTATTAAATAATAGTGCCTCCCCCAAAAATGGAGTGCATAGTAAACTCACCCCTTGTAATGCAAATATAGTCATCTATGTATTTATTATATCCATGGATACATATTATGACATCCAAAATACTACGTTCAAAATTATAACTATCATATTAGTCATGCATAATTCTCTAGGACTACAACAAGTTTGATTTGCCCATTTCAAGTTCTTTTAAGAATATCTATTCAAATTCATATGCATATACAAAATGTATAAAATAATAATAGGATTAAAAAAAAAATCTAATTGCAACCTCAACCTAATTATACTAAAAATACTCAATATTTAGCATGCATGTAGCCTCTCTATTCCATTTATATTACTTGTTACATACAAAACTAAGATCAACCGACTCAGTTATTTAGACAACTCACCTCAAAATATGATATAAATATATATATATATATAATTATATATATATATATATATATATACATGTGTGTGTGTCTGCGCGTAAGCGCGCAATAATAGGATTGTCCATGTAATGACATTTTTGTTTTCATATTGTTCAAATTTATGGTAATAGTAGATCAGAAAGCGCCTTGCACAATCACATCATCACGGTCATTCATTTTCACCTCAATTCATCCAAGTTGTTTTAAGGCTATGCCATGATACTAAATAGCAAAAATATTAAATGATAAAACATATCAAAATATTTTTGAAATATAAGTGAACCCTGGATGCTTTAAGTTCTTAACCCTCAACTTATTTGTATATCACTATCAAGGGCATCAATATTTAAGTTGATTGAAGCTAAAAAATACCAATGCACACTTAGGATTAGCACGAAATTGGTCTCCTTCAGGTATTTTCCAACCCAACCTATAACAAAGTGTTGGATGAAGTAACTCATGGTTGCCAACAAAAGTCCTCATATCAAAAACCCAAAAAATGTCTCCCTATTTTTTTGATTGAAGTCCACCAAGAGACCTCAGATAATAGAATCATGATATTTTGATAGAATTTATGACCATCAACCCTCTCCTCTCAGAATGAAAGTGGTAGTCATTCAAATATATATATATATATATAAAAGAGGGATAACATAACCGCAATTCAAGAAGCCATTCACAATGTAAGAAAAAGGTGAATCTTGAGCTTCAGAGCATACTTATTTGAAAGTTCTCACTTGAAATCAGGAGGGTAAATTAACAATAATGAGAGCTTTTCTCATGGGAAGCTCAAACTAGTAGTAAAACATCCTCAATGGAGGTAAAATTTTTAGGTTGCATTAATGAACTACTGGAATTTCCACCTAAAAATTGATCATCAAGCCTTACCTCAAGTCGTAGAGCATTTTAAATCCCACAAAATAAATGCCCTTTCATGGTTGGTTCTACATAAACCATTCAATCAATGTGCTCGAACAAACCATATAATTTAACCAATCAATCTGCACATGTCCAAAATTATATCTAACATTCAATCTGCATCAGATCATATTAGATGCTTTAACTTAACACATGAAAGCTGTTTATTACTAATTATGTATGCCATTTAATCAATATTTCAAAAAAATATCTAGCTTTCTATAAACAATGCGCCCAAGCCACCTAAATTTGCAAATGCAATAGAGATGTTTGCCTAAAATGTACTCAACTTGATTAAAAAAGTACTATCTTGAAAATAAAATTGATTTTACTGAAAGACTGTTAAAACAAATTCAATCAGCAGAAGCTAAATATTGGCACGTCCTATCATCAGCATATTAAACACAACCATGAATGCGTACACAACATAAACAACATTCTGCAAGGAAAATACAAATGATGTATGCTAAATTATAGTTTAAAACAGGTTTTTCATTATCGGCTTTTTTACTGGCTTATTCATATGATAATACAGAAATTTCACTGCCAAAGCTTCTCCAAATTTTACAACTCATTAAAACAAAGTAATATTCAAAAAGAACATCAGAAAACAATTATCTTCTATCGGCAGAAAAAATATTTCCTTACACAATGCCATCCACTGTCAATGATGTTTCAGCAATATTTGTGGCGACAATAATCCGCCTACAATTTTGAGGTGCTGGACTGAATACACGAACCTATTTTGAAACAATAAACACAAGGTGAGAATTATTCATGCATTAGCATTAATGGGTCAGGTGTGGCGGGTAGGGAATGGAGGGGGATAAAAAACATAAACATAAAGTTAATGGTTGATTTTCAATTTAAGCCTTCATAATGAATCTAACTGATGATGCAATTTCCGATTAAATAAAATAAATAAATAGCTTACAGTTTAAGAGAAAAAATATTAAACATCCCAAAGAATGTCAATTGTATAGAAATTTTTAAGTATAAGATAAAATATGTCAAAATTCAGCAAAGAATCCCTCAATTCCATGATACAGAAACTAATCCAGCCATCAAAATGATTAAACATTTGATATATAAATGTAAGAGATACAGCCATATGAAACATTGAGGTAACACCGGTGGATGATAGAATGATGAATCCAGATACAAATCAACATGCTGACTATATCAATCGTGTTAGTTCTTATCATAAGTTGTGGTAAGCTTCATGCATATCTAAGAATTTCAGGAATTCTGATCATTAACCGCAACACTTAATAATTTAACATCTAAAAAAAATATGAGAACATAAAAGAGAAAACATAATTGATTCCTAATTGCATTGTACAAAAATAATAATGAAGTATGAAATAACAAGGCGAACAGGTTCACTTCATTTTGACCTTGTACTGAATGTTGTTTAATTTCTTATGTGATGTGCCATTTACTTGAAGAAATGATCAACTCTAGTAAGTGCTCACTTTTTTCCTCCTCAATTTTAACATATTTATTGCTCAACATGTTAAGCAATATAGGTTACTTTGCCATGTTTTCTAGACAAACTCATTAACAGCTGTAAACAAAAACATGGGAAAATAAACTTAAGTATCAATTAAAACAGCCAAGATTACTGCAAAAAAATAGAATAGAACTAGAGAACAAGAAATTAGTGTATTCCAGTCTCCAGAATTATCACCATGCACACACTGTCAAGAATCACTTCTTATCTTAATGCAAGTGAATGCAGGTTTTTGTCATCCACATATAACAATTTTATTGATGAATCATCATCATTGTCATTATCATAATAATCATCATAAGGCCTTATACAAATTATTAGGGATTGAATTAAGAAACCATCACTTTACATTCATTTTTGTTAGGCGTTGCTTGAGATGTCAAATCTACTCCCCCTAAAGTACTTCGAATCACTTCTATCCATATTACCTTAGGTTTACCCATTCCTCCAACAATAATTTTATCCACAAGTCTAATGTGAGCATTTTCCTTCAATGATATGTCCAAATCACCTAAGGCCCTTACTAAATATCTTATATTCATTATATGTCACTAGAACCAAACCTAGAACAACATTATTCCTAGTTAACACTCATAATTTTATCACATTCATCTTATCATCTAACCCAAACTAGCTGATGATAATTTTTTTGCCAAGCACTGTGATCCAAATATTATTTTAATTGTTATGCTCTGTCAAAATATTTTACTCAAAAATCCCACTTAATAATTTCTAAAAATAATATTTTCATCTTCATTGTGTTAGAACCGGTTTGGCCGGTTCAATTGAACCGGCCCTAATATTCCAACAGGCGGAACAGGGCGAACGAAACGTCAGAGAGCGCAACCCGAGTGATTGCCGATTGTGCGTATACGTCCATGTGATGGATTTTTTCGCCATTCTAACTAATAAATCGTGTACATGAGTGAGAAATAGCAACTCCTCATGGGAGATATCTTGATTTTACTTGTTCCAGTTCAACAAATGAGTGAAGAAAATTAGGAAAGCAGCAAATAAAAGGAAGAAGAAGAAGAGAGAAGTTAAGGGAAGTCTGAGGTATGTTCTTAATCAAGAAATTTCTTAACCTTCTTATAGATTTCTTGAGTTGAAATTTTATAGGGTTTTCCAAACAAGATGATTTTAAAAGAAAATGATAGTGAAGATTGAGGGATGATTTTTAAACCTAAAAATGAAGTTTTCCAAAAATTATAATGAGTTTCTAAAAATTAGGGTTTTGCAAATTTTTTATTTCTATGAAAATTTCTTAATGAATATTATTTCTAATGGTCATAGAGAAGTTTTTAAGGGTAGGAATTAAGGTTTTTCATGAAATATTATTTTTCCTAATGTTTAATTAAATTAAATCCGAAAAACACACAACTCCCCTTGACCTATTGGTTGAGAGCTTAGGCTTCCAACTAAGAGGTCCAAGGTTCGAGTCCATGTGTATGCGTTGTGTGTGAGTTTGCCTTAAATGGCCTAAATGTCCCAAAAAATAAAAAAAAATTAAATCCGAAAATGGAATCCCTAAATATTAATTTAATAATGAAAAGGTTTTGACATGAAAATATAATGAAAATAATCAAAATCATGTTTCCAAAATTAGGATTTTTGAATAAATCCGAAAATTAAGTTTATTTTAAATTAATTTAGGCATTTGAAGTAGGTTAATTTGGATAAATAGTGAAATTATACAAAATGAGAGAGAGAGAGAGAGAACTTAGGGTATATTTATAAGAGAATAAGAATTAAGTTTGAAATTATTAAACTAGCTTATGAATGTTAAATAAATTCTTATAGGTATTAATTTTGTGACCTCGAAGGAAAGAGTACTAGGGAAGAAATCAAATTTCTCGAATCAGGTGAGTAAGCATGTTTCTACGTTACGGTAATTGTATTGTTACTAAATTTCATCTAATTGTCATTGCAAGTTAGTAACTTTACTGCATTGCAAATGATTCGTCCCTCGCATATTAAATGATTTATTATATATTATTGCATAAAGCCTAAAGTAAAGCAAAGTATTATGATGTAAGAATGATATGATTGATATAGAATGCTTGCAAGTGCATGTTGAATTGATGGAGCTCACCCCCTTTTGGTACTAGTCGGGGACATTGTACCCGTGCACGTTAAAAGGAAAAGGCTATGAAAAAAAATGAAAAAGAAAATGGTAAAAGAGTACCTTCATTGATACTAAATTAGATGATGGCTCCTGTGACGGTTGTATATATATGAAAATGAGAAAGATATGAATACAGATATGTCGAATGTAAACTAGTTATGATATGATAGGTATTTATAATTTATGTATATATTTAAATGAAATAAAATTTAAGATATGGAATGATAAGTGGCATCAAGCATATTTCTTATATTGCATTGAATTACTGTAGTTTATAAACTTGTGTTACTCATTAATCATCAAAAATTATAAGTGGCATCAAGCATATGTAGACAATGAACCTTGTGGCATCAAGATATGGAATGATAAATCATCAGAACATATAATTTTTATTTTGCTTACTACCCTTTCTATAAGATTTTTAACCTTCTTATAATCATTACAAGCACCAATAGTATTTACCCCTCAAATTTCTAAAACAATCTTGGTAATGAAACTAATCTTTTTTATTCCACATCAAATATATACCAAATTAAGCCTTCAAATTTGCCTCTCAAAAATCCATCTTCGCAAATAAACAATATCTCATCTTTCAAAATCTATCTTATCTTATGAAATGTATTTATTTTGATTGTTTTCTAGATACTATGAAGATATATATCCATCAAAATAATTCAATATTGTGTGGCCTAACTCTCTCTTCTAGAATCACCATATAATCATTGCATTAAACTTTATCTTTCCACCTAAATAAAAAAGAAGACATGTTTGTGATTTGGTGGCTCCATTTTCGAATATTATAAAATAAGGAACACATGAAAATCAATCGTACCGCAGTATTAACTGTAAAGATGATTTTCGCAATAACGATGTACACTAGAAGACCAACCAATTCATCCAAAAGATACATTTCAAACAAAGCTTATCAATGAACAAAAGTATCAAAATCAGCTGCATAAAGGTGTGGGAAAATAGCAATATTCATTTAACAATAATCTGTTATTCACCAACTTCCATAACTCATTCATTTAATTTGAACTTCTAGCTCAATCCAAGTTATACGCAATAAAAACTAGCATCCGAAAAAAGAATATCAAGTTTAAAAAAAAAAAGATAGAAGTTCATAAAAAAAAAAACAAAAAAAAAACAAACAAGGTAGAGATCGTGTAATGCCTGCATCTCAGGTGGTAAAGAGCCATGAAGTGGAAGGACTAGGGCGTCCATACATGAACCTTCCTCAAGGTTTTGAATCTTTTCCTCCAACTTGGATACCATTTTGTCAATCTCATCCTAAAAGAACCATGTTTCAATGATTTTTAACTTGTAGCAACTAATCAACAGCAACAAGGAAAAATAAGTTGCCATTATCAGGAAAATAAAAAGCTCAGCAGGTAAACTATTTGCTTGTTGGTGGAAGGGCAAGGGATAATATTTATTAATAGGAAAAAGTAAGTTGACTTCTGAGGCAAATGCAAACCTGTCCTGTCATAAATATAAGGATGTCTCCTGGTAGTTCACGAGAGTGTATGTCTGAAAATAGTGCTAACCACTTAATGGAACAGATAAGACAAAACATCATATTTAAACATACATGGAAAGCAAAAAAATTACCGGACATGCAACAGTCTCTGGGGTGCAAAAAAGATGAGAAATTTTTTAGTGGTTGACAGATAAGAAATAAAAACAATATTCACACTGGTATAAAAGAAACTGAACCTACATTGCCTAATCAAAACTGAAAAAGTAGGCTAGTTGAAAACTTGCTTGATCTGTGAAAATTACATCATTAAAATGGTTAAAATCAAGAATAGAACTTCATTAAAAAAAGAAAGACATAAGCATAACAATGTTTTTTATGATAGTTGAAGCTTTGCCCGATCATTGGAAGACCAAGGGAAATGATATATAAACTACCACTCATAGCAAGGAGAAGCAAAAAAAACCAAAAAAGAAAGAAAGAAGGGTTTAAGCAACGCCTTAATAGAATGGCCAAGTTGTTAAAAGACCCTGTAGCTCCAGCTACATGGTTTAGAAGTTGATTTATTGGTTGAGAAGTGCTTCATCATAATAGTTGAAAAGTTGATTGATCAGTGAAGATTACATCATTAAAATGGTTAATATCAAAAATAGAACTTTGTTAAAAATGAGGAACAATGTCTTCAATTAAACTTTAACATATTCCCTATCTTTGTAAGTCTAACGGCAATGATACATAAACTACTAAAAAATAGATAATTGAGTTTAAGTAATGACATAATAAAATGAGATTTTCGTTAAAAGACCATACAGCTCTAGCAACAGTAAGGTAGAATGGTTTTGGAAAAGATTCCTACTACAATTAAGAATAAAATAAAGTCCATATCATGGTTTAAAGGATCATCCAAAAACTGACTGAAATAACTGTTTTGGGTCAAATTTTGGGAGTACTGATCAAAGAAAATTTGATTTATTCATCATCCGTATGTTAGGGTTCATGAGCAAGAAAAAAATATGTGGTAAAAAATAGCTAGTGATATTGCAAAGTATATGCTTGAAAAATCAAAAGTAAAAGCTCAATTAAAAAAATGGTTTTTTGTGAAATCAAAATGTGCAAAAAAAGATCAAAAATTAAAAAATATATATTATAAAAATTAGTTTCAATGTAGAAGTTCGAAAAGATGGAAAAGATATAAAGTGGCCCACAAATATTCTAAGAAATTAATATATGATGCAAAGAATTTGATTTTTAATGATTTATATAATATATTAGATACTAAGGAAGGCGAAAGATGCATCTATAAATTAGCCAAGAAGTAAAGATTAGTTCAAGTGCAGTACATTAGAGATGAAGATTAAAAAGTATTTTGTTAGAAGAGAAGATTCAACATAGGCGAACGAGATATTTCAATAAAATTTTTAAAGAATATTGTGAGAATATTGTTGGAGGACTTTTGTCACCCTTAACGAATTAAGATATTTTGCGATCGAGTACGGCATAGAAAATAATAAATTATCCCAAATGACAAAAATACTATTTCTTGATCGCTTAAATAAAAAAAACGCACAACTTTAATTTTAATAGAGATTTTCACCTACTCAATATTTGATCGAATGAGATTTATTTTATTGTGGGGTAGATATGCCCCATAGAGACAAGCTCCTATAATTAATTACATCTCAAATATTTGTTACTTGAGAGCACTTTTGATTAAACTAGTGATTTTTTTTTTTTTGCATGAGTCATCAAAATACTTGATTTAAACGAGAATTTGACTTTTAATAGGACACAATGGAGAAAAAGGATTCATGTAGCCGACCCCACGTAGTGGGATAAAGGCTTGATGTTGTTGTTGTTGTTGTTGTTGAGTCATCAAAATACTGGCTAATATTTTCATATATTAGATTTAAAAAATTCTTGTTCAAAAATTTGGTCTTTGAGAATTTCAAGGATTATGAAATCAACTATAATCAAATTTTTGAAAGAGAACCAAAGAGAAGAAAATGTAGTACTAGATTATGAAGAAACTCAGAGGTACTCAAATAACCCTATATTAGGCTTTACATTTTAATATCAATTTTTTGTTTAATTTGATCAAATTTAATTTAGAATGTTGGGGCTTATATTCCAACAATACATGTTAAAAGAAATGCCCAGAAGGTGAGGGTTTATGAAGTGACTAGAAGTTAACAACAGCCTCAGACCCTAGAGCTAAGGTGCGAACTACTGAGGTGTAGTGTCTCGAACCTAAGTCTAACAGAGTGCAAAAAATTCATATCTGACATGAGGCATAGTCAGCCCAACCACTAGATTTACAATCCTGCTTAGAAAGTGCTACTAACTAAACCCACCTAACCGTTAGTCTGATCTTAATACATATGAAGAGTAAGGAAGATTGTTTTTATTTAGAGGATATGGCTTACAACTTGACTTGCAATGCTTTATGGCGGAAAATGTTGGCCATTAAATGAGAAGAATGTGAAACGAGTATATATGTGAAAAGGTTGGAGTAGGTCCGGTGACAGATAAGATTAAAAAGAGTAGCCTTAGATGCTTAGGTCAAATAAAATGTCATCCTTCCAATGACTCGGTTAGAATAGTAAATGTATTAGATGTGGCCTATGTGAAGAAAGGTAGAGGTAAAGCTAAAAAGAATTGGTTATAAAGTATTAGAAATGACCTTTTTTTATTAGATTTAAATGAGCATTTTCCCATTAATATGACACAATGGAGAAAAAGAATTCATGTAGCCAACCCCACGTTGTGGTGTCTGCATGTTAGGTCAAATATTTAATAGCCTTTACCTGCTTCAAGCCTAAATGGGGTAGGAAACAGCCTAAAACATCTTCCACAATCAATGACAAAGTAAGATGAAATTTTGGGAAAAATGCGGAGAACCTACTACTGCATTGGGGATAGAATTTGGAAAAAAGTAAGCATAATAAAGAAACTAATTCCAACATAAAAGCAACTCTTACATATTTTATAATGAAATAATATAGGTAATTAAATCTTACATACTTTCTGACTATGATATTTCTCAGTTATGCATAAAACAAAATGCATACATAAAATGAAACACTAGGTTTACTGGTTATGTAACCTTCTGGAGCCTTTTATTAAACTATAGTTAGAGATGACATGTGTCAATGGTAGTCTGTGTAACGTTGTATTTTGACTTTTTTAGAATAATTTTTACTGAAGTTCTTAGAACCCTATAAATAAGGGGTGATGAGGACTAGTTTGGGACTTATGCTAGTTTGATATTACAAGCTTTCATGAGTACTTCGTAGATTCTCATTTTCTCTCTCTCTCTCTCTCCTCTTCTTTCTGTTCACTCATTAGTTCTTAGGTCATCAACTCATAGAACTTACTCGCTAGTAAGGTGGAATGTCATCCAAAAATAGATCTGGATTCCAAAAAATTTGAAACCGAGTTTTATAAATTTGTCCATAACTTTTTATATGGTTGGTGGCGAGTTCTATATATGGGCACCCAAATTTTTCTACGGTTAGCAGAAATGTTTACAAAGGACATTATCAAGATGGCAAATGGTTTCTACCCAAGATCAAAGAGCAAAAAGGTTAATATTCTTCATGTCACCTTCGCATTGCTGTATTGATAATTTTTTGGTTTCAAAATTAAAATGGGCAGAAATCAGAAGAATTTTCATGCCATCATGTCTATATTCTACTTCATATATCTAGCGAGAATTTTTTTACATTTAAAATAAATTTTTAAAATAACATATCTTTAAATTATAAAACATAATGACATTTTCTAATTATATGTTTTCTTTAAAGAAATTAATTTTATATCTAAAAAATTATATGAATATAGCATTGCAATTATGAGTAATTGACAAAAAAACATCAAATGCAGAAAAGATATGAGAAACCCCAAGTGAGAAAAATCCAAATGACCAAAAAAAACACTCATTTTGACTACATTGCTTGAAGTTTGGTGAAAACAAGAAAGTGATGATAGATTTTTTTTTCCTGTTTTGACCCTGTTTGATAAACAAGATTTTGAAACTTCTTATTCACCAAAATGTTATTACTCAAAACGCTCCCATCAAAGTCATAAGGTTGTTTTGATTCATGGTCCTCTATATCTTCATAAATAAAGAGAGAGCTGAGGAACTTCAAGAACGAAAGGAGAAGTATCCCTGATAGTTGCAAAATAAGTGAAGAACATTTATGTAGGGATAGTGAAGGCTAGCACAGTAGGCTCAAAATCCAAAAGGCAACCTAGTAGTTCAAAATTATGAGAGCAAACATGAATTCATGAATAAGGCATAGTAAACATTGTAGGAGAAGAGTTTGGTCAATTAAATGCAACTCTTGTACCTAATCGGTTGATTTCCTCATATTGGTTATTCTAGAACAATTAAAATCATTGCGCCAAAATTTTTGGAAACAATAGGGAGGATTTCTTCAATTTCACCTTCAGATAACAAGATACTAAGCCAATCCAAACCTCCTTCTCAAGTAGACAAATAACTCCATTTCAATCAAAAAATTGGCTAAGAATGCGTAATAGCATCCATATGCAATGGCTTACCAAATATAAAACCCAACAAATATAAAGTGGATTTGTGGAAATGATGTAAATGTAGTCAAGAAAAAGCCGCCCCTACATGGGTGATAGTTGGTTCTTCAGAATCATCAAAATGAAGAGACCACCCAAGCATTTGCATCAAAAACAGTCATTAACATAGAAGGTTCACCTAGCAAAAAGTACATTGTAGTCCGCTTCTAAAAGTAATATTATAATGATATGGTGATGAACAATAAGCCCAACTGAATAAATTTGCGAATAATATCCATCTTGGGTCAATCCAAAAAAAATTTGTAATATAAACAATTTTCAAGGTACAAGTTAAAAAGTGCAAAAGTAATTTTTTTCCTATTTTCAAATCTCAGTAAAATTATTAAATACATTTCTATAAAAAAATAAGTACAAGAAATAAAATAATTTTTTCAGTTGCTTTGAACTCAGGAAAATGGCCTTCTAAACTGATCACATTAAAATAATAGAAAAAGAAAAGAGAATCTTGATGTTCTCCTTGTCGAAAGAATAGCAGCAGTGTTGGGTTTTGAGATTACAAACCTGCTAAATTAAACACTTCTTGATTTTCATTGGTAGATCTGTATCTCTTACCATGATTTTGAAGTTAAATACTATTTTATACATGGTCATCTTAACATGAAATTTGGGGCAGGAAAATAAGAAGAAAGATTTTTTCTTAAATAAATAAGGTTCGAAGCACTAAATATTCAGTTTGTCGAGAGGTGGAAACAATTTTGCATAGGGCCTTGGAACATAAGACCATTATCTTTTTGCCCCTCATGCTGATATTGACGCTGCTTACAACTTGAATTTTGACAATGAAAGTTCTTATGTTCAGTTTTGTGCTTCCTTAATCAAATTCAAATTTTTTCATTTACTTCAAGCATCTATCCAAGGCCATGAGGGTATGACTTGAGACATTATCATAATTTACATGATATATAATAATCTCTAATTAGGCCACACCTGATTTTACAACTCGAATTTTAATAATCATTTTCAAAAGAAAGTCTATTGGTATTTATCCTTAAAAATAGAATAAGCCTTTCAATACAAAGATTCAAGGGTGTTATATAATTCACTTTTTCATCTTCAAGCAACAAAAAAGTAAACCAATCTCTTTCCATCCCACACCCTCCCCACAGGAAAGCTCAACTGTTGTATGCCTTCTTGTGGGGCCTTTTTTTTTTATTTTAAACCCATGCGGTTAATGGATATAAGCATGGTGTGTCGAAGCGCAAGGAAAGGCATGCCTTATAATCATAGTAGGTTCTTCCAGGTTGCAATCCAATAAACAAACCTGCCATAGTTTCGTTCTTTTAAATAGTCATTATTTAAGATATTCCCGGGTACCACTAAAATAAGAATCAACAATTCTAGAGAAACAAGGTGACGTTCGTGATGTTGTTTTGAGCTTCTCTTACATTCATATTTCCTTGGAAACAATTTAAATATGAAATGATTCAATTCGTTGATTGAATGACTTTAAGGTCCATGCAAAGTGACTAGTCATAAATTGATGTTTCAATGGAAACAGCAACAAAAGTTCAAAATAAGTGCGCATATTGCAAGTATGATTGACTAGAGACTGAAGTTATCTATTCTTACCAAACAGATAATTCAAACCAGGTAAGCGAAAATGATGTAAGTAGGTTACAAATGTATTTTTAGATAAAATATCAATAAAACCAGAACAATACTTATAATATAAATAAAGAGAAATTATCATAAAAGAAATGAACTTTCTTCCATCTTAGGAGCAGTAACACTAAACAAAAAGATGTAAGCATTTAAAATTATATTCTCACCAAGAGCAGTTCTCATGGATGAATCAATATAGTTTTTAGGGCGTTCGGAACTGTATAACTTTTCTACAGGAAATAATTGTCCAGGAACATTCAATATGGGACAGTCTGAGAAGAACTTCGATACTTTCACTCCATCTAAAGTTGCTGAAGTAATAAGAACTTTTAAATTTGAAGAGCGCATCTTGACCAAACGTTTCATCAACCCAAGTAATATGTCACTGCCTAATGAAACAAGATTAAGAGCATATCTTTTTTTATGTAAAAGACACATGTCAATGTACTTAAGCTCCACGATAATTTAACAAAGAAACCTAAGCAACAAAATTAACAAAACTACTGCACACAAAAGCTACGTATCGGCAAGGATCTTGAAACACAGTGATGCATCAAATGTTCAAATTTGTATTACTGAAGCATTTTGCAACATACTCAGCACTAAATTAAAAAGAGCTACAAGGCTGGATGAAAATCAGATACTTATTTGCACAATATGAACATAATTTGAGAACTCGTTGAAAAACAAATTTGCTGTATGATGAGCATATTTTGAGCCAGCACATGGAAGAAACGTGCATGCATCCTAAAGCCCATTCATCCATGTACATCTAAACGCATGTTGATATACAGGTATGCAGACACAGAGCAGAAGCACAAGCATAAATGTATAATCCATAACGTACAATTACATGAATCATAATTAGCATTGTGCAAAAGTATTTAGTTTATTATACATACTTACTCCATTAATTCAGGATAAATCTTGGAACTGATGCTAACTCTAGTTAGAATCAATCTACTTTCACAACATCGAGCAAGTTTATGTTTTTGTCTACCTGCTTCCAATCCTATGATTTTCACATTAATTAAATGTTCCTGTCGTATTGAAGCATTTTTACAGTGCAAATTCTTTGTGACAGTCTTTTATAGTAGGTAATCCTACAAGAGACTAACAAAATTATTTGTAACTCTATACTTACAAGTTCTCCACAAATTAGCCTTAAAATTACTAAAATTTATTTTTGAGTCTCTATGATAGTCTCTCAAAAAGAATCCTAAGGCATTTCTAAATTTAACCACTCTGATTTGATTCTAGAGATTATAGCCTCAATTATATTTGCGTTCTTTTGTATGGCTAAAAGCATCTGAAATTATAAAACCTAAATGCCCTACAAAATTGGCTGCCACTATTAATTTCAAGTTTACTAAAATTACATGTTATGAAATTTATTTCTTCATGCTCTAAAAAATTCATGCCCTAGCTCTTTTGACACAAATTTTCAAAAAACAAATTAAATTGCAGATAAGACACTTGTCAAAGATTTTGTCCTCATTTTTTAAGAACTTTATTATCTAGTTCCAGGCTTTTCATAGGCGCAAGTTCCTATGCTTAATTACCTCTCCCACAGGCAAAAGAGAATTTTCAAATAAGGTTAGTCATTAAGTGCTAAATGCTTAGCATATAGTAGCATAAATTTGATTTTAGGATTAAGAAATTTATCACCTTTAGCTTAAAGTAAATGGTGGGAGGAAGGATAAGAAAATTAATCATGATCTCATTATTCCATTATCCTGGGTTGTCAAGAACCCTAATCTACTAAATCAAGGAAGCTAGTTGACCCATCATGATAGAAGAATCCTTGTTGGTAGACATATGATGTCGTACAGGGGAACTTTATAGGCCTAGAGTTGATGTTTATCTAAGGGGATAACTTGAGTTGACTTTAGATACATACCATATCAAGTGCACTCTATGATTCAAGAATTAAGAGGCAAAAGACATTAGAAAAAATATGAGTTATAATCATGACAATAATACAATAGTGTCATTTTGCCCAATCAGTGGGCGTCACACATAACTGTTATTTTGTGGTAGTATTTTATGGCAAGAGCATCCAATCAAACGACAAGGGCCTAGTCCTTACGATCTTTTCAAAGTGAACATAGAGATATGCTTTATAGGATATTGGCTCTTTGTGAGCAAGGATTATCTTAAATTTGTCAGCTTTGACAAACTGTTACGAAGGTTAGATAAGCATTTTCTTTAAGCTTTAGGGGATAGATTTTAGATGAGTATTTTATATGCTTTAAGGTTCAAGAGCTCTCAACCTTATTTTCCTACACAACTTACTTAAGAACTCCATAATATTCTCTAACAAAGAATCCTCGAGCACTTCTCTGTGGCTCTAGAAAATGGCGCGTTGGCACAAATCCCGCATTGCAGCCGTAGGATTTCATTTCCCTTAAGTCAAATTGTATTTAACCAGATTTCCTTTAAGAGTAGTATCAGGGTTTAATTAGATCATGGCTCTTAATTTTTATGAGCGCAAACACTCATAGTTAATTACCCCTCTTAACAGAAATGTAAGAGAGAACTCTCGATTAAGGATGAATAATTTTTAGGTGATTTTAGTCTCAATTGTGGAGAAAATGGATATAAGCCCAATCAAGATCTCATGATTCCATCATCCCGGGTATACCATAGGTTTCAGTCTACCAACACTAACAACCATTGACCGCAGTGTCCACGGGATCTGATTAGCAGTCATAGGTTCCCTCCTCTAAGGGATCCCGAGTAGACTGAGGTGATCAGCTGTAAGTTTTAATTTGATTGGGTTTTGGAGTTTACATCTATTAGAATACCCATTAGTTGGTTTGGGATTTATGACTTCATTTCGAAGTTACCCAGAAGTTTGAATTGAAGCGGGTTTTACAGCTTCTCTTGGAAGTAGCCCAGGTGTTTGAATTTGAGTCAGGACTTACAGCTTTCATTAAAGTAGTTTGAAAAATGAGTCTTACGACTTCTATTAGAAGTAACCCATTCGTGGGTCTTACAACCTAACCCTATAAGCTAAGTTGCTCATTAATTTGAAGTTGATTGTTTGGGTTTTAGGGTTATTACAACTTATTTAGCAATTTCCCTAACATGAGGATCTTACAACTTCACTTAGATGTTGCCCATTAGTGGGTCTTATAACCTAGCTCTACAGCAATGTTGCCTAAGGATTTAGTTATTTGAGTAGGTCTTATAGCTTCTCTTTTGAAGTTGCCTATAGGTGGGTCGTACAACCTAATCCTTTATAGATTAAGATGCCCGTTGATTTTTATTTGAGGGTTTGATATTTCATTTAAAAATTTCTCAAATAATTGGTTCACGACTCTCATTAGAAGTTGCATACTTATTTGGGTAGAATAGAACGTATTGCTTCCCTATAAAAGTAGCCTGTTAGTGGATCTTACAATTTAGCCCTATAGACTAAACTTCCCATATATTTTTTATTTGTTTGTTTGAGTGGACAATAATTGCCTGTTAGCTTGACACTATACTGTGATTTTCAGTTAATTACTAGCTCGACATATACTACCCAGCAGTTGTTGTTGTGTGACACTAATGCTTCTACTATAGAATTTACATTTTTTCTTTTCAGTGTCGTTGACTGTACAATTAATTACTTTATCAGTAACTTGTTCTATTTGTTCTACTTTCTATCTGTAGCTTAGTATAGCACTTGCTTTTTTCTTGTTTTAGCATTTATTTTCATGCTATTGAATTTTATTTACTTGTTTGCAAAAGTTTGTGTTGATTCAAAGTTTAGAGGGTTTGCAGTGTTTGTAGAGAGAAGTTTGAGAGTTTGTGAGCTTTGTGTTTGAGAGTTGGTTGTGTTTAGTATGCTAAGGGTTGGTTGTGTTTGTTGAGTTTTGAGTTGTGAATTGAGTTTGTTTGGGGGTTGGCTGTGTTTGAGTTGTTGAGTTTTGTGTTGTGGTTTAACTTTGTTGGTTGTGTTTGAGTTGTGAATTTGAGCTGGGTTGTTGAGTTGAGTTGTGAGTTTGAGTCGTTGAGGAGTTGTGTTTGAGTTGTGAGATTAAATTGAATTGTTGAGTTGAGTTGATTAATGCGAATATTTTTATTATGCATTTTATTTTATTTTTAAAAGGTTTTGAATTGGCTGATTAATTAATTAATTTAATTAAATAAATAAAAGTTCAATTGATTAATAATTTATTAAGTTAATTATTAATTTAAATTTTATTTTTAATGAATTGTTATTTTAAATTAATTAAATGTATAATGTATTATTAAGTTGTTCAATTAATAAAATTTAAAAGTCATTATTTCTTTTGAATTTAATTACAGATTAACATTTCAATTAATTAAAATAAATTGATTATTTTTAATTAACTTATTTATTTAATTAAATGTTAATATAAATTTTGAATTAATCAAATAATGAATTAATTTAAATTTTGTAATTTTGATTTGGGTTTAATCAATTAATATTGATAAATTAGTATTAATATTAGCTTCAAAGTGTGCTTTTGAAACAAATTGATTCAATGCCAAGCACTTGTGCTCCACCCTGTCACCAAGCATGTGAATATAATGAAGTGAAACAACTGGTGTGAATAGTGAGCTTCAAGGCATCAAGCACATTTTGGGCTCGCAAATTGTGAGGACAAGTCACTAGTTGTAAGTGGTTTATTTTGTTATCAATTCAACGGCATTTAGGGTTCACACAAAGAAGATTCAGATGTTAAGGCCCTAATCCACAATCAATGGAAGGTATTGCAAATATTCTCCTTTATGCCTCAAATAGCTCTTGATTTTTCTCCACATCGCAGAAGTAGATGCCATGCCATCCATAAAACATAGCTCGATTGGCCACAAACTCACAAATAGTAAAAGACACAAAATAAACAGTATGAAACACAATTTGTAAATGATCTCACACATAAGCAACTCTTAATTTCAACATGTGGGATAATTTTTCACTTTACTTTATATCCATGGTTTCCAAAAATTTACACCAATCTCTTCTGATGAAGCTGTTTTTTGGGTTAAATTTTTAAAAGACAGATTGGAATGCAGACAAAACACTACCCAAAAATTTTGCCCAAATTTTATGAATACTTTATAACAAGGTTCTAGGTTCCAATAAACGCAAGCTCCTATGGGTTGCTACCCATCCCGATGATTAAAGTTAATGCATAGGCGTTAAGTATTTAACTTATAATAGCAATAATTTTATTTTAGGTTAGAAAATATTTACAACTATTATTATCTTATAAAGAAGATAGTTGGAAAACTGTTGAAGCAATTTCGGCTCGGTTGAACCGACCAATTCAATATATATTATTTTTCATTTAAACACAAGTTTTCATTTTTTATTTTTATTTAATTAATTTTTTTAATTTAAAATATAAACTTAAAGGCATATAAACAAATAAATTTAAATAGTTGTCAGCTGGCCACATCATGCAACTTTATTTATTATTTGTGGTTTGTGCTTCCCTATACAAAGTAACCATTTTAAATTCTCTTATGATGTGAGACTAAAAACTCATAAGAATTCAGCATCAGAGTTAAAAGTGTTGAACTTTGAAATTACTTGGGTTATAAATTTAAGCTGAGAATGCGTATAATTCATAAACTTTAAGAACATAAACTGTCATATTATAAAATTTATATCTTACATTAAATATTATATTATTATTCTTATTAAATAGTATATATATATACATGTATATGTATACATATACATGTATATGTATACATATACATGTATATATATATGTATATATATATTCACATTAATGTTTAATCAAGCCTTTTAGTAAGCTTTATGTTGAATTTGAATGGAGCTTGTTCATGAGCTTTAATCAAAATAGTCATGTATGTTTTATTAAAATTTTAATTATTACGTAGTTTATATTATATTTGAATAATTTTAGTACTTATTACGTCATCTGGTTCAACCCTAGTTGAATCATCGAACCGTGAACATTTCTTTCTAGTTTGTAGTGTGGTCTGATTTTCAATTAGTTTATTTTTTAAAACAGATTACTTAGTTTTACTTTTTACAAATGGACTTAAAATGCTACAATTTATTTCATTATTTTCATAATAATAAATCATCTAGTGGTTGTTGAATAGTCAAATACTATTAATATTTCCTATGAGATATGCACTTCAATTAACATAAACATGCACTTTGTTGTGCTTCGCGCATCAAGCAAAAAAATAAACCATTGTGTTGACAATCTTATTGATCAATAAACACATAATTTGATCACAACAACACAACAACATCAAGCCTTTATACTACTACGTGGGGTCGGCTACATGAATCATTTTTCTCTATTGTGTCCTATTAAAGGTCAAATTCTCGTTTAAATCTAATAAAGAAAAGTCATTCCTAATATTTTCTAACCATGTCTTTTTAGGTCTGCCTCTACCTTTCTTAACATAAGTCAAATCTAATACCTCTACTCTCCTAACGGGGTCATTGGAAGGCCACCGTTTTATGTGACCAAACCATCTAAGGCGACTCTCTCTAATCTTATCTTCTCCTGGAGCTACTACAACATTTTCACGTATATGCTCATTTCGTATCATATCTCTAAGCGTAAAGGCATATATATATATATATATATATGTGTGTGTGTGTGTGTGCGCGCGCGCGTGTGTGTGTGAGTGATGAGAACATTAAAATATAATTTCCTTTAAATGTCCCAAAACCACAATCTGCTTCACAGGGCCATAGAATTTGCACCTAGCATCAATATCCAAGTTAAGTTGAGCTTTGGCCAAGCCAGGCCCAGCGCAGAAGGTACCTAGCTTGGCAATGCTAATCAGCAGTCTTCAAAAAAAATATGAAGAATAAATGTTAAGCATATTTAGGGCATTTACTGTGAAAAAAAAATTTAAAAAAAAAATAAAAAAAAAAAACTCATTCATCACAAAGTATGGCACAAAACCTTTTAATTATATAAAAAAGAAAAAAATAATCATGCAAACTATGATTTATTATTCAAGTAAATTCAGTAATGTGTTCATTGATATAATTCAAAAAAAAAAATCATTCCAGTATTTAAATAAACCACTCTCCTAAAGAGCATGCGTAAACTGTTCCATAATAACAAAAAAACTTCAAAATTTGTCCTTCGTGTTATAACAGTCAAAACAACTATTCAGGTATCAAGTATCGTGTTAAAAAGCAAAAACGCATAAAAATACTTCGTGTTGTAATGGTAATGAATATAGAGCAGTAACTGTATGAAAGAGGCATACGTGTTTAAGCTTCTCTCATGAGCTTCGTCAAGAATTATGACTGAATATTGATCCAATCTAGGATTAGAGAGGCTTTCACGGAGAAGAACACCATCAGTGAGATACCTGTGAACTCCAAGCAAGGTGATTCAAAATTTGTTTTCATACGCAAATAGAAGATCATGATCAACAAAGCTTCATGAAACAGTTGATAAAGAACATCTCACTTGATGCAAGTTTTATCAGATGTTCGATCTTCAAACCGAATGGCATAGCCCACTTCTTCACCAAGCTGTGCACCAACTTCTAAAGCAACCCTCCTTGGCGCTCAACAAGTGATTAAACAAGCCAGTGAGAAAAGCGCAAAAAAAACAATAAAACAATTATAACAAACTTTAAAATAGCATGCTTTGAAGTGACGATAAAAAACTAAGATTCTGATAAGTCCAAAAACTGTGATTTCCATTTCCGAACCAACATGGTTAAGTGCTTGATTTCATGAGGAAAACTATCTGCATTCAGGTGAGCACTCGAATAATCCCAAGAGAATGCAGATCCTCACTCACAAGAAGCAATAGGTTTACACTAATTTTGTCAAATTTTTCAGCTGCTTTGCATTTCAAAATATGTGGCAGCGCAATTTTTATTTTTGCAGAAAACGTGCAACGGAAGGCACTCTACTGGATGCACACCTTCTCCATGGCTCACCACCACGGACCATATACGAGAAAAGCAATTTTTTCAAATCTAAATAAGTAAAACTGACTTTATTTCATACCAAACAATATGACAGGGAAACATACCAGTATTAAGGGAAGCCTAAGCCTTTGAATAATTCATTTGTGAGTTATAGCTTAGTAATTGTTGAACATTTCAACTTTGAATGGATCCAAAACACAATAACGAACAAAACAAGAATACTGAATACCATATTTTTTCAAAACATATATATATATATATATATATATAGATATAGATATAGATATATATAAAGGAGAGCAAGAAAACATGTACGTCATCATATTCTGAAATTCTGTGGTAAGAAGTTTTCTGAATGGAATCGATTAATGTTGCAGAAGAACATGGATGATGAAATTTTATTGTCTAAATTAAAAGCAAGTAAAAAATTGTGCTCTTGTTCATTCACATATGCTGTCACTGTATTATAAAGTTATGGCAATAATTCTGTAACTGCCATGATATTACGCTCTCATTCTGTTTCTTACATCTTATTTTGAAGTTATAACTATCATTCTTATCAACCATTAATAAATCCAATATCATTTTGGCAATGCTCACAATTACTCGTATCGTAAACATGTCACAGCAGTACATGACCCATTTTATAATAGGTGAGAAGTACCGTGATATGCATTTAGAATTTGTAAGTCTGAGTCTCTTATAATGCAAGTCTATGTCTCTGAAAGTTATAAGTTTTGTTTCTAGTGCAAAAATTTTCAAGTCCCAAAATATAGTAAAAATTATAAGTTTTGTTTCTAGTGCAAAAATTTTCAAGTCCCAAAATATAGTAAAAATTCCAGCAACCTCCAAGCATCTCCTCTATGTGGGAGAAATTTTGGGGAGTTGGGCCTAACCACAGTGCTATGAAAAGAATGTACGACCATTGTTGAGTGACACCAAGGTCAAAATTTTGTAATCTCATCACTAAGAATGGTGTATATGAGGTACTTATATGAGAAATTTTAGCTTAGCCCAAAACAACTGTTTACGTCGCACAAGCCATTAACGAGGGGGCTCCTTCAACCACGCTAAAAAGTGTATAAAGGGTTTGCCCTACAATGACGAGTACATCGCTTGTAGGTTCAATCGCTGATCTGCACACTCAACAAGCCAAGCACGTAACTAGCAGGGTTCACGAGCGACGTTGAAAATGTCGTCGACCCGCTACCCAACATGCTAAAAAAATCATATATTAGTTTCCACTAGCCGCATCGAATGCATTTTGGCATGATTGGGAGTTACTCATATTTATGAATCATTATACTTGCACGGTTAATAAGGCAATGACGTGGTCGGAGCAACTAACCTACAAGCAAATACAATGCATCATAGCACATAATTTTTATTTAAATTATTTTTGCTAAAATTATCATTTATATTTTTTTATTTACTTTATTATTTTTTAAGAGAGAAAGAGAGATCTAGAAGTGTTTGGTGGAGAGATGATGGAAATGGTAGAGAAAGCATTCGTTCAAATTTGAAGAAGAAAAAGAGGAGGGAGATGGTTGTGGACATGGTGTGGGAGAAATCAAGAGGTAGTGATGTTTGTTGAAGTGTTGTGAGGAATAAGATATAAAGAGGAAATAAAAGAGAGAGAGAGAGAGGGGGGGAGAATGAGAGGAATAAAGAGATAGGGCTGAACATTGCATTTGCATTCATAAACAATTACCCATTACAAAGAATAAGAAAAATAAAAGGCCAACCCCAAAAAGCCCCTAAGAGGGGCCAAAACTATTCCTATCATCCTCAAGGATGTCAAAAAAAGCTTGAGGAATACATGTGTTGAAAGTATCTCCTATATCCCAAACAAAACTATCCTCAATTGCTCTTTGAGCACAAAAATGAGCCGCCTTGTTATATTGTCTATAGGTATGGACAAAAACCACCTTACGAAACAGCATCATCCAATCGAACGTGTCCCCATCTTCCAGCTGAAACCGCCACCCCTCTTGCTGCTTGACTTTCTGCAAATAGTCCATAACGCTGGCATTATCCCCCTCAATGACAACTCCCTCGACCTCGTACATCCAGTCTTGGGTAAGCTTTCCAATATAGAGATAGGGAGGAAGAGGATAACTTGAAACCAGTGGCTGGAATTGGGGAGGGCAAGGCTTCAATCAAGCAAGGTAGTTCCGATAAAGTGTAGAGGGAGGAGGTCGAGTCATGAGCTAGCTTTTGCATGTGAGAGCAAGAATCGAGATAGTAAGGGAAGTTGAGGCATGCACCTATTTCGTGCACTATGTTGTTTTGTGAGGAGATAATATGAGGGAGGCGGCAATGAGAGTGAGGAAGCGAGAGAGTTTTGAGTAAATGAACTTAAGGTTTAGGTTTTGATTAGTTCATTTCTTTTTTGCAAACATTATTCTTTTAGATAGCCAAAAATGAAGGGCAAAGATGCCATCTTAGTTACCAAAAGAACAGGATAGTCGCACATGCTAGAATGATCTAGGATTATATATATATCAGTTAAATATTAAAAAGATTAAATTTTAAAGATAATACTTGAATTTTAAATAATTAAATATCTATGTTAAGTGTTGTCGATTCGCTTTCAATAAGTCTCATTTGGATAATTTCGGCGTTCCCGTTGCAATGGCGTGATCCATTTTGCAATCAAAGATCATTTCAAGTGATTTAGCATAAGTTCGATGTATGTCGGGTTTCCTCTCCATGGTCGTTCAATATATTTTAAGGGTCAACAAATGTCACCCAATAAATATAGTTTGTACTTGCAGCGGATCATATTTTTTTTTAAGTTGATTAACCATATGAATCCCCATATCTTAAGTTTAAATGTCACGCTAAGATTTTGACTTTACGAATCTCCAAGAGCTTGCTCAGATATCACACTGAGGGTTATACTTTTCAAATCTACCAAAGGTTCACATGAACACTAATATAATAATAAACTCGTCCTTAACTTGCTTTGAAAGTTTGCTAAACTTTGATGATTTCCCTTGAATAAAGGAGAGATTAACCTTAAGGATCAAGTGTTGGAATATTCCAAACCTCTTTTGACTCGTCTTATGCTAGATTGTTAAGCAAATCAAAGATTTTTATCGATCTGATGCATTGTGTTGAACAGACTTATTGATGACTCTTTCTTTCAAAGGGATCTTTGAGAAAGGAATATCTTCAGTCGTAGCTTTATGCTTTGGTGGACTTAGCAAAGGAATTTATCTGAATTATCATAATCTACTTATCAGGGATTGAACATACCTTTTGCCGAATGCTTTGTGCAGCGGACTTGATGAAGGATGTCATTTTGATGATTTTGAGGATTTTGAGGATCTTTATACCCAATGTTTTGTGTGGCGAACTTGATGAAAGAACTACCCTGAATTGTCATCGCTTGACTTTTCAGGAGGTAAATACACCTTCTACCTTGACGAGTTCAATGAATGACGTATGTCGGCAGCCCAGCCCTCGAGGCTTATGTTAAGTCAGTGGCACATAGTCCTCGGTCTGATGGTTCATGCATAACGGACTTGTTGATGAAAAAACTCCATGGACTTTATATGAAGCTTGAGACAACTTTTTTGGTCTGATTCTTTTTGCTTTGTCAAACTTATTGAAGAAGAAGATATCCTTCAGTTTAGATTTGCGCTTAATAGACTTAATGAATGAAATTAGCATTTTAAATTGGTAGGATATTTGGCTTAGCTTGATGCCCTCTTGACTATCGGACTTTCCTTTTGGTAATAGCCATATCATTTAACTAGTTAGGAAGGACTCATCAATCTAGGCTACTTAAATTTATCAAAGTTGATATATTTGAACTTGATAGCACTTGTCAACTAATCGATAACATGGGAGCTTTCTTATTATGGCCTTTCTTATGGCTTATTGAGTAAGAGCGAGCTGTCAATGACACTGTCACATATGGGCTTGTTGAGCCTGACCTCATACACATGCTCGAGCACTGGCCTTGGGCTACAATAGTTTGGGCTTTTAGGACCTGATGCATTGCAGTTTAAAGACCTTATAGTGTTTCTGCCTAGCTTTTCAAGTCTTGACATTCACATTTGGGACTGAGATGTTCTAGAAATGAATGCTTGTTCACAAGAGAGTTTCTAGAAGATTCAAGTATGATTTTTTATGATAATCTAAAAATACATTCTCGCCTCGCAAGAGAGTTTCTAGAATGTCAAAATATAATTTTCATAGTAGTCTAGAACGGCATTCTCGCTTCGCAAAAGAATTTCTAGATAATGTATGTATGATTTTTGAGATAATCAGGAAACGAAATCTCGTTTCGCAAGAGAGTTTCCAAGGATCAAATTATAGTTTTTATAATAGTTTAGAAACATATTCTCACTTCGCGAGAGAGTTTTCAAAATATATAAATATGATTTTCCCAGTAATCTAAAAACACATTCTCGCCCTGCAAGAGAATTTCCAGAGAATCGGGATGTGCTTTGTGATATAAATAGGGACGATACATTGTTCAACAAGAGAGCTTTTAAAAACAATATTTTCATCATTCCTCTTGTGTATATACTTTTCTCAACTATGATGCACCGACACAGACACATCAATTATTGAAAATATAGGACACGGACACTAGTTAGACATGGTATTATAGTTTTTATATTTAAAATAGTGTATAAAAATTGAAAATGTATAATATTAAAATAGTTTAAAAATAATAAGTCATTTAACTAAAATTTGTGCTTAAAATGATTAATATTAGGACGTCGCGAGTCGGTTGTCGATGTCATTTATCATTCATCGAGAGAGGAGACGACAATACTATCGAGAGTAGTGCATCGATATTATGCAGTAAATATCGGGTGTTAATGCTAAGAGAGCATTTATCATCGATGTTAAGAGGGCGTTGGTCGTCGATGTTGAGAAAGCGTCGGACAAAGATGAGATATCAAGTTATGGGTGTAGAAATTGTCAGCGTCGAGCATCAATGTAAAGAGAGTATCAAACTTTGATATGGATATCGTTTTGAAATGTTCATGTTGTAACTTGTAACAACGTCAGACGTTGATTTTGAAATGATATAGAGTATTGTGGTGAAATCAATATTGTGACCCACCAAAGAAAAAAAAATGTTGTAACCCGCCAAAGAGAAATGAAAATGGGAATATTCAATGAATGAGGTATTGAGTGCGGACGGGATTAATTTGGTGTTATGAATAGAAAATAAGAAATTTAATTTTTATATTTTAAATAAGTAAAAATTTTAAATAAAAAAACTATATTTTAAAAAATTCATAAAATATTTAAGACATGTGTGTCCAATTTATATTTAATATTTTTTAATCAGACACATTTTCGGTGTGTCCGACACGTGTTGAAGAAATGTTGGACGCGTGTCGTATCGGATACGTGACGGACGTTGCACGGTTCTTTGAGAAGAAGTGTCGGTGCATTATAGTTTCTCAAGTATTGTCCATTGATTGGTGGCATGGGTCTTTAAACATTCAAGTCAATGAGTTGATAGGATCTTTGTTGATACACTTTCTCAATAATGAAGGCGGCTTCCCAATTTAGTTTATACATCCTTGCTCGATACATGTCAAGATTTTATTAGACTTGAATTTTCATATCTGGTGTAACATGCTCTTCCATTCATAGCTTCGCATTTTGATCTTAAGTGAGGTAGCTCTAAATACTAAAGCATAAGGAGTCTCTTTTGTAGAGAGCCTATAGAACTCTCAGCAATCCCTTGACATGCACCAATTAGATCAGTTATTACAAACAATATTGGAAGTAATACTTTCTATTACCTTAGTCAAATTGTTCAAACAAAACGGGAAATAGAACATGAAAATAATAGTATTAAAAGGGTAGTAAAACATAATTCCTTCTCGGAATGATGCGCAGGCTGGAATACGACGTATAGGAAACACCGCTTTACAGTTCCTTATGTGTTACAATACTTCGCAATCAGCAGAAAGACGAGCACTTTCAGACAAAAAATGAAGATAAGCGGGGAAATACACCTCGAAACGGATACAGCAGCAACTCTGCGAGGTTGGGTGATTGCGATTGCTCCGGATCGCGTGTATCCTCTGCGGTGTAGAATCTGAGACAGCTGAGTGCTTTTTCCGGAGCCAGTTTCTCCAATAATCACGACCACGGGATTCTTCTCCACGGCCTCCACTATTTTGTCTTCGAACCGAAGAATCGGAAGAACAGCCATCAACCGAGCTCAGGCAAAATTTTCAAACGCTAAAATATGACGAAATCACATGTGGTCGGAGTCCAGCCCACCGTAGGGTTAGAGCTTTTATTCTGCACGGAGACAAGAACCGTCTAGGTTAACTTCGGTACCAGCATCGAGTGGAGCTGGTTACTCACCAATAAAGTGATGTGACGCATTTTTATTGATTTTTGGATGTCGTTCGCACTCCGCACAGAATAATTCTTCGTAGGGTTAAGGCCTAGTTTGGTTCGGCTTAATTTCTCAGTTTCACTTTGAATTCGGTCAAATCAGTTATTTAAAATTGTTCAGAATCACTACTTAAACATAATTTCTTTCACAAAACTTGATTTTTTTTCACCGATTACGAATTTCATACGGTAAATTTAAACATAGCGATCATTATTTGACCCCCTAAGTTTAAATTGACTTAATAATCTATCCAGTGATAATTAGGTTGTGATTTTTTATGTGTTAATTGAGCTTAGGATAGGGAGTTTAGAACCACTGATTTTATTCTTCCTCTTGCTCTTGATAGTGAGTTATAATTTTTCTAAGGTAACTCTATGATTACCTTAGGTGGTTTTGCTAACCACCTTAGAGGATTTAATTTCAGCCCAAATTCAGTGGGCTTGGGCCTTGAGATCAGTTGAACTCATGACCCAAGTTTCACTAAAAAATGGATCCCATTTCGTCCACCAACTAAGGAACCCAAAATCACCCCCGAGATTTGATCTAGACCCTTAATCAATTACATTAAATCCTAAAAAATCATGTAATATATCAAATTGATCACAATTAAATCATTCATCCATTAAAATTAAAAACCCCGATTCAAATTAAATCCCAAAAAAATCCTTAAGTTTTCTTACATTATTTTGCTAAAACTTCCTCCATCATGGCCTGCTTTAGTTCCTCCCTGCTGCTTGCTTTCCTTCAGCTCACGTTACAAACATAGAGCTAGGAATTGGATTGTGAAGGAGGAGAGGCTTAAGTCATTGGATTAGTAAGCTAAGCATTCCACTAAGTATTTAAAATATTATATTCCTAATTCAACTAGGATTTCCCAAAACATTCAGTAAAAAAAATATATATATATATATATATATATATATATATATATATATATATTGACATAATGATTAACTAACACATTTGACTAATATAATAATTGTTATCTAAATCTTTTACTGAAAAAATTAAATAACTATACAAGTAATTAACTTCAACAATCAGGGCATTAATCTACATATAACTCTATATGTCATAATGCTCTAGATTAAAAGTTGAATTTAATAGAAATAAATGAATATTTATAGAAAGTCTATACTTACATTTATTTTGAATATTTTGGGTTTTATTATCTTCCTCTCCTTATTGAAATTTCATCCTCGAAATTTAGTGCCTTACTGGTCATCAAACAAATAAGGGAATTTCAATCTAATGTCTTCTTCCCTTTCCCATGTTACTTCTTTTTCTGACCTGAATTTTCATTTCACTCTTACATAAGGGATCTGACAATTTCTGAGTTGATTAGTATCAAAATCCATTATATATATATAAGGATATTTTTTCATTAATTTTTGATCCTTTGCCTTTGGTGGGGAAAAGTAAAAGTCAGATAATGTTAGTGGGGACAAGGGTTTTACTCCACTGTCCACCACCTGAATACATCTCTCATCAACATATTTTCTCTCTACAATAATTTCACTCTTTTTCTTTTTTATTGTTTTAGTAATTCCTAGAACTACTAGAGAGGAAAACATCTCAACATCCTCATGCATTGCCTCAAGCTCAACCTTCAAGACATGACACTAGGCTCTTGTCGGCAACTATTAAGAAAGTTGAAAGATTTGTTTATTAGCTTTTTAAAGTCCCCGGATAGAGAAATATCCCAACCATTTTTAATTGATAGAGAAATGTTATAGTGTTTACCTGAAATTATCTTTGCGATCCTCTAATCTGGATTTACTAAGTACTCCTTAGGGATTATGATATTGCAATGTCTAAATTTTTTCTAAGCTAGCTATTAAAGATAATGCAGTCTTCGATTTAGTGACCCAACATGTGGTGATATGAGCAAAAATTATGGTCAATCTTCTTTGTTTGTTTCTTTCAGCTTCTTGGCCTTTAACAATCTAAGGTGTGGCTTCTTATAGTGAATCTTAATTATCTTACTTATCGAATCCCTTTTAAATGAATAAAATTCCTCCAATCTCTCTTTAAAAGAGATCAAGTAAGACTCCCATTTAGGTTGAGTGGTTACTCATAATGGTTGTTGCTATACTATTTTTGGTGGAGGACCACTAGATTGAGTGGTAGCTGGTTTCTTCCCCTTATCTATTACAGAGATTATTATTGACCTCTTCTCAAAAGATTTTTGAGGATTTTTTGACTTCTTATCAAAAAATGGATCCTTTAAGAAGACATCTGAAAAGTCTCTTCATGTAGGTAATTCACTTTATTGAGAAGCTTTTTAAAGGTTTTGATTGTGACCCTTTTTGAAGAAAAATAAAAGGCTTATGGATATTCTTTAAGAAAATTTCCACTGCATGTTGCTCTTACAGCTGTGGTTCACACTTCATCAAGAGATTTCTCCATCTCAAGATGTACTCAACCATGTATACTCTCTCATCTTCTACTTCTCGATGACCAGATTGCCCACGGTTATACGATGCTGAGCTCTGAAGAGTCTCTTTACCCTCTAGCACTACAAATATTCTCCCGAACCATTTGGTATATCAACATACCACTCGAAAGCGATACTAGATAGTCTACTAACAAATTGGCAAAATAATAAAGCATTTGACCCTCATACGTTACAATAGCTTGCACGAAAGAGGGCCAGATGCTGCCAAGGTTTTCAATACCACTAAAGAATTTAAAAGAAGGTGGCACAAAGACCTTCGATAAGGAACTAAGTCATATTCCTCAGTATAGGAGAAATCTTCAATTTTCCCCTTTAAAGGTCATTTTAGTCATTTGGACCCTGGACAACTATGGGTCAACTTAGGTCCACCAAAGTGCAATTTTGTGTTCAATATGCCATAACAAGGGTAAGTGAGATGGTCAACAATTTTGGGGATGGTTCCAAGGTCAAACTCCATAAGGTGGAAAGCCCACTGGCATAAGCTATAAATATTTGGACGTTTTATAGCATTTAGATTTCAATCAATTTTGTAGTGTTAGAGGCCTCAGATTGGCCTCAAATTTGTAGGGTTGACCCTAAAGATATGCCTACTAAATATTTAATTAATAGAGCAATCATTTGTGAAAGTTTGTTAGGGTTGTTAAGCCCTTAAGAACTAGCCCGAGGCAAACTAAGAGGGGGAGGGAGGAATTGATAGTTTTAAAAATTCTTAAACAAAAAGTACAATCTTTTTGAAATATTTTTAAACATTAAAACATACAATCTTTCACATGAAAATAAAGTGTGGAAATTAAAATGCAAAAACATAATAAGAAAGAGCACACCATATTTTATAATGGTTTGGTCAAAACGAACTACGTACACTCCCCGGAGCCTCTCCTCCAGGTATTTCACTAAAACTCAGTGATTCTCCTTTTTATCCCACAGTAAGGTAGAGAAACCTTTATAAAACTTCTTTCCACTGACCCCGATGAGGCAAAGAACTTGACCTCCTTTCGCTCCCTCCTGAAGCAGGCAAAGAACCTTGATCGATTGCTGAAGAAGACCTCCGAGAACCTCTAAGGAACTAGGGACGACAACTGGAGAAGATGACTCAAATCCTTGCTTGGAGCAACCTTTGTGAACCCCTCACAAGATCCTCTCTCTCTCCCAAGCTCTCCCTCTCCTTCTCTTGGCTCTCTTAGGTCAGGAAGTAACAAAAGATGTCACCTTGAATAAATAAAATATCTTATAAAGAATGGCTTAAAATTTACCCTAATTTGCAGCTTACCATCAAAGATCATCCAAGATTATTATGATCAATGTATTTTCAGCTAATTCAGCAAGGATGATCTACGAGGGTTGAACATACCTTTTGCCTTGTTTGTTCTAATCATCCAGGATGATGTGGACATCATCCTGTACAATTAGTTCAAAACTATGCATATTATCCATTACATCATTCTAGTCGTCCAAAAGATACTTGTTGGATGATGAAAAAAATATAATGTATCGTCTAGGATGAGTTCGGAATTATCCCATACGATTTGTTAAAAAATAGGGATTATAGTCTAGAATATCATTCTGGTCATCCAGGTGATACACCTGGATGATGAAAAATTTCAACTGATCATCCAGCATATTATTCAGGTCATCCATGTGATCCAAAAGAAAACAGGTTTTTCTAACTAATCATCCAGGATGATATGATCAATTAATCAAATCTTAATTGCTTTTCTCAATCACTTGACTAATTTAGGTATGATTATAATGAATCATCCAAGATGAAATGGGATCGTCTTGTATGATTATCATAAATAATATCATACCTAAAAGAGTTTGGCGGCTGATTCTTTTTTATTTGAGCCTACCATCCAGGATGATGTAAATATTGTCTAGGATAATTTGATTAATTCAGTTGTCTTAACATAAGAGACCTAATTAGGGTTTTTGCTTTTTTTGAATTGTCTAGGATGATATTGGATCATCCCGAATGATATGATCAAAAATAAAAAACTCTAAAATATACAGAATATCTCCTCCTCGGTGTATGTGTGCAAGGTTACTTAGCATCAAGAACCACATTATTATATTTGACTTAAGAAAGGGTAAAAATACTGGAATTACACTTATAGACTGACTCAGTCCTAATCTATGCAATCTTGGGTTGGCTTAATTTGCAATTGACCTTATGGGTCTGAAATGTTAGTATATAGGATAAAAGTATAAAAGTAGAAATACCAAAAATGTTTGTTATCATCAAAATTATAATCCTTGAATCCAGGTTTGTAACAATCATCCCTTTTTTTATGATGGCAAACATTGTTAGGAAATTCAACTAAACCATATTAATGAAACATAAAGTAAAGGAGAACATTATGAACCAAGCAATGCAAATTTTACTAAAATTAAATAGGTGGTACAAACACTAAACAACAGTAGTACGAACAACAATAATAAAATGAAATAACACTAACTTTACTCCCCCTTTTA